AGCCCTAGCAAAAATTTAAAAGTTCGCTTCTCTTCAACGAAAGCTTTGAAGCTTTTCGCGTCATCAGGACAGCTCCAACGATGCTCCTCAAAGACATCCATCTGCTGCCAATTACGGGTTAGGAGATTATAATACTGAGTGATGCTCAACTCACCTTGCCGAAGATCATGGAGTGTCGATTCGATTTCGAAAATAGCCGAGTTGTTCTCCTTGTTGGAGTAGAATTCCTGAGCTGCCTTCCAGATTTCGTAGGTAGTTTCGTAGAGAAGGAAATTATCTTTGAGTTCAGGAGTCATCGAGATGATAAGTTAGGACATGACCATGCTGTCTTCAATCTCCCAAACTTGCGCATTTGAGTCGGGCACTGGAGGAGGCACGAGCTCGCCAATGAGGTACCTATAATGCCATTTTCCGCAGATGAATAAGTGGACAGACAACGACCATTGAAGGTAGTTGCTGCCATCGAGTTTGTGTCCTGTGATACAAGACGATGACATCTCACTCACAGCTCTGGTGGTTGCTTTGTGGTGATAGGAACTAGAGGAAACCTCTAGTGGAGAAGACAGAAGCTTACCCGTGGCCATTGGAGATGTTGGCTCAGCAGGGATCTCTTTTCTTTTGGATCAGGTAAGCTCTGATACCATAAAAAATTTAATGGAGGAAATAATACTTCTGCTTATCATTTCCATTCACCAAAGGTGTGTATATATACAGCCTAAATTCTAACAAACTCCTAACAAAATTATGGGGGATGAGGAAATAACAAAATTGATTATTCTCTACCAACTTTGTGACTGTCACCGTTTACAGCAGAAAACAGAAAATATATAGCTAATATACTTATTTTAAACAAAATGAAAATAGCTAGAAAAATAAACCTAACTGATTTGGAATTTATTCCCTTATTTTCTACAGATTTATGTTTGGCTGTTTTAACCTGCAGGCACGGTTATTGACTGGAGCCACAATTGGCCTAGTTATAGCTGGAGGAGCTTATGTGAGTACTGTAGATGAAGCAACTTTCTGGTAAGTGAATGTGCATAAAAGATAACGATTTGCTCTCTCTAGTTTGCTTTTCTTTTTCGTGGAAGGGGGTTGGCCGGATGATCATGTTATAATCATCTGAAATTTCTGTTAAAAGAATTCCTTATCCCAGAAACTTATCTGTCAGTGCAACTTGAAAGTTAAAAGTTGAAGGTTTTATGAATATTCTTGTTTGTTTCTCCATTTTTGGGATATATGGGTAGTTTAAGTAAACGTAAATATAAGTATTTTGCTGCTGTTTCTTCATCTCCATTTCCCCATCTTTCTTACGTTTTGAATCCAAAAAACTGAACAGGAAAGGATGAAAGTTTTCTTATGGATTAGTAGATAATCTCTGCTGCTAAAGGAAATTGCTAAATTTATGTTCCCTTTTCAATATTCTAGTATGATATTCAAGCTTATGGTATGTGACAACTTAAAGGAAGCATTAATATGGAATTAAACCATGCTCAGATTTGTGATTTTTGCCTGTCATTTTGTTTTCTTTTGAAAAGTGGCTGAGGAAGTTTGAGATTTGTTATCATCCTCTCACAAGGTGACTAGCATTAACTGATAGTGAAGGACTAAAATATTCATTGTGAAACAAACCCGATGTCCTTGTATTTAAGCTTTAAATGGGGTTAATGGACTCCCTTTTAGATTAATTATGAATTTCCTTGATATAGCATTTTGTCAATCATTGATTTCATATGGAAAGACCCTAAAATTGTTCTTTGAGTGCCTACAACATAATAAGGTGGACTAACTAAGAATAAGAAATAAAGTTAGGGTACTAGTTGGATACAATCCTCATTGTCTTTATAACATTCTAGAGGAGGTTATTTTCTCAAAATGCTTCCTATCTTCCTATTATGGTCATTGACCTTAGTGTACAATCTGTGGATGAACAGGATCCAGAACAGATATTTAACTATCTTTTGAGCTCCTATGGTTACTAATATGGTTTTACAGAATTCTTGCATTTCATGCTGGAAGAAATTATAACTCAATAACAATTGATTTTAAATGTTTGCTA